GCTTGCAACTCATAGAGACCCATTGTACAACAGCTCTGAACTCTGGTTTATCTAGAGCCAACCTTATTGTCTCTGACACACCTACCCTCATTACCCCAGTTACTGAGTCAATCCTCATCCAGGGTCTTCCTATTGTGCTCTCCCTCCACCCTCCCAAGCATGATGTCCGTTTGGAAGGACTGGTTCCTTCTTGTAACATGCCCAAAGTATGTCAGACAAAGCTTCAAAATCCTTTTTTCCAAGAAACAGCCTATTTTCTCCCTCTCCAGGATGAACTTGTTTGTCTTCCCAACAGTGCATGGTATATTCAATACTCTTCTCCAGCACCACAATTCATCCTTCTTCTATAATTCTTAGTCATTATCCAGCTTTCTGATGCATAGCAAGTAATTACAAAGACTATGGCCTGGATCAGCCGCACTTTAGTGTCTAGATTGACATCGTTGCTCTTTAGTACTCTGGAGAAGTCCCTGACAGCAGACTTTCCAAATGCAATTTGTCTTTTGACTTCCTGGCTGCTGATATAAAGAGTGTTGACTGTGGAGCCAAGCAAGCTGAAGCTGTTAACAGTTTCAATCTCTTCTCCATCCATCATGATGCTGCCAATTGGTGCAGTGGTGAGAATCTTTGTCTTCTTTTTATTATTATTATTATTATTTTATTCATTTTAATGAACATTTACAGAGATTTTGGATTTTCATTCATTCATTCATTGTTGCACTTTTTTCTTTACCCCCTTTCCCCCGAGAATCTTTGTCTTCTTGATGTTGAACTTCAATCCATATTGTAGGGTGCAGTCCTTGACCTTCTGTAGCAAATGCCTCAGGTCCTCCTCAGTTTCAGCAAGCCAGGTTGTGTCATCTGCATAAAGCAAGTTGTTGATGAGTCTTCCTCAAATACTGATGCCACATGCCTCCTTATAGAGCTCAGCATCCTGGATGATCTGGTCTGCATATAAATTGAAAAGGTATGGAGATAGGATGCATCTCTGGCGTACACTTTTCCTGATTTTGAACCATCTAGTGCTCCCCTGCTCTATTCTGACAACAGCCTCCTGGTCCAGGTATAGGTTCTGCCTAAGCACAATCAAGTATTCTGGGATTCCCATTCTTCTCAATGTCAGCCACAATTTGTTATGATCCACACAGTCAAATGCCTTAACATAGTCAATGAAACCCAGATAGACATCCCTCTGGTACTCTCTGCTTTCAGCTAAGATATGTCTAACATTGGCTAAAATATCCCTGGTACCACAGCCTCTTCTAAATCCTGCTTGAACTTCTGGCAGGTTCCAGACGTTTTTGAATGATCTTCAGCAGTATATTGCTTTCATGTGACATGAATGATATTGTTCCATAATTTACATACTCTTGTCGAGTCACCTTTTTCTTTGAATGGGAACAAACATGGACCTCTTCCAATCCATTGCCCAGACAGCTGTCATGCAGATTTCTTGGCACAACTTGGTGAGCAAATTCAAGGCTGCAACTGGTAACTGAAACAAGTCAATTGGTATCCCATTGATTCCTGGGGCCTTATTTTTTGCCAGTGCCTTCAATACAGGTTCCACGTCCTCCTTCATTACTGTTGGCTTCTGTTCATATGGTACTTCCTGAAAATTTTCAGTGTCAATCAATTCTTTCTGGTACAGTGGCTCTGTGTATTCCCTCCATCTTCTTTTGATGCTTTCTAGGTCATTCAAAATATTTTCCATTGCATATTTCAATATTGTGACATGAGGCTTAATAGATAAGTACGGCTTCAGCAAAATTAAAAACTTTTGTGCTTTGAAGAATTTTATTTAAAAAAAATGGAAAGACACCAATGAAGGAATTTTTCTTTTGCTTTTCAAAGAGAGGAGCGAACTGGAGGGGAGGGGTGGGCAGGGAGAAAAATGCAACAATGAATGAATGGAAATCCAAAATCTCTGTAAATGGT